AGGGAACTCGGGTCACAGTGGAAGGCGGTGGCTTCGCCCCGGAAAGCGCGGGGCCCCCAACGCCCTGGAACCGGCGTCCCTCTCCTCCGATCAGCGCCTGGCTGCAGGTCTGGTGTGAAACCGCAGCTTCTGAGCAGCGCCACTGGGAGCAGGAGGGGCCCTGCCTCTCACAGCCCACTCGGGGGCCCAGGCCCGGGCTCTGGACAGCTCCCTACAGTCACCCGCTCTAACTAGCACCCCCCGCCTGAGGTCAGGCTTTCTCCCCTGCCCTTGAGCTCCCAGGTGACCCCGAAGGCATGCGGACCCAGCTGCTCCGCCCGACCCGCCTCCCTGGCGGCCCCAAGCCACTGCCCCGCGTCTCTGTCCGCGGAGAACAAGCCCTTCTCCCGTCCTGCACAGAGGACGGGCGCCCGGGGCCCCCAGAGGAAGCAGTCAAGGCAAGTGTGAATGCAGCACCGAGGTCCGGCAACGTGGAGCAGGCCCTGCACCGGGCCTACCGCTCAGAGTCAGAGAAGGAGGACGGCTTAGTCCACCGCCACACCAGCATGTCTTCCCCGGCCACGCGGTGAGACTCCGTCTGGATCCGGGACTCGTTGGAGGCCAGGAACTCCACAGCGCGGTCCCAAACCCGCTTCATGCGCCTCCTGCAATGAGAGCTGGGCAGGTGAGCACGGCGGGGCCTGCACAGACCCATCCTGCATTACCCAGGGGAACCCGCCAGGCTGTTCAGAGGACAAGGAAGATTCCTCAGCTCCCCTGCTCCGAAGCCTCCACAGGGAGGGACTGCGCTGGGCCTCCCAAGGCCCCCCGTGGGTTCCAGGGCGGGCCACCTCCCCGAGATGCCAGAGAGGGGATGCTGCATGCAGGGCCCCAGATGGAGGGTGGGGTACAGGGGCTTCCTGCCTGCGGGGCCAGGCCAGGCCACCCTGGGGATGGGCTCTGAGGACAAGGAGGCCGCGGAGAAGACAGCACCCGCTGCCCATTAGCGGGTAATGAGGAGCCTGCCAGAGCCAGCTGCCGCCCAGCTCCGGCTTTGCTCGAAATGAGCTCCTTATCTCGGCTGCTCAGGAACAGGCCCTCCACTGCCTCCTGGGCAGACACTAACGGGTCCTTCCTGGGAGGGCCCACCTGGGAGGAGCGGGCTGCCGGTCTCAGGTGCACCCCGAGAGCAGCAGCTCTCACAGCTTTGCTAGTGCTCGGAGCTGGGGTGGGGGCCAGGAGGCGCTGTCCTCAGTAAGGGACGGAGCAGTGCCATTGGCTCCACCCAAGCGCCAGAGGCCACACACAGTGACTCAGGAGCCCTGAGGCCACCACCTCCAGGCCCTGTCCCCTTTCCCTTGGGACTGTCACTTCCCAGGAACACACAGCCCCTTACGCTTCCTGTCAGGGGCCGTGCTCTCTAGGACAATGGCTCAGCTGCGCAGCAAAGCCGTTTCCCGGGTACAACGCCCAGTGCAAGGCGAGTGCAGATGGCTCAGCCCCTTCACTGCCACCCCTGCAGGCTGAGGACGAGGAAAAGCGTCCTGGAGGCTGAGCGAGGGGCTCATGGTCACACAGTGGCTCCTGCACCCCGAGGGGCCTCCACTGCAGTCTGCTGTCTACACTTCCTGCCTGGCTCAAGTGGAAGCTGCCTAGCATGCTCCTGCCTCAAGCAGACCCTCAGTCCGCTCTTCCCGTCCCGCTTGGCAGCACAGAGTGGTGAAGTCCACACAGGCCTGCGGGTGGCACCAGAGATGCCATGAGGGCTTGGGAGGCCCTTCTCTGGTTCCTCACTATTGTCTCTGGCAGTCACAGTGAGGACAAGTGAGCCATGTGCGGGGCTCAGGGCAGGACCTGGCCGCCAGAGCTCCCCTTGCCCAGCAGATGACAGCGGGGGCCAGAGCCCACAGCCGTGAGCCCAGAGGTCATTCACTGGACCGTGCGACTGCAGCTGGCAGGACTCCTGACTGTGGGTCAGCTATGGAAGTCTGAGCCTCTCCCCTCTGTTGGAAGCGGATTCACAGACAAGGGACTGGACCAGAGGAACGGTCTCCAGGCTACCGGGAAGGTTTCCCCTGCTCGCAGGAGAGAAAGGAGCCCATTTCTCCCCTGCCGGCCCAGCGAGGCAGACACTGCTCTAGCGGCCAGCGAAGCAGTGGTCTGCAAAAGCAGCAGGCCAGGCCTCCTCCGTGCGAGCGGCCGGCGGCACTCACCGGCTCTGTGGAGGGAGGAGGGTGTCGCGCACGTGCAGGATGCCCACATACGGGTAGCGCTCCATGTCCTGCTCCCAGTCCACGTAGTGGTCCTGGACCACGTCTGCGGGAGACAGCGCAGTTAGGGCGCGGCCACGGCGGGCGCGGGCAGCCCTCGCCTGGAGCACGCACCTATGATCTTCTTCACCATCTCGTACATGGCCTGCTCCTCCTCCTCCAGCTTCCGCCATCGGTACTTCAGGAGGATCAGGAGCCCCCAGAGGAAGGCCAGGCCTGGAGGAACAAGGCGCCATGGGTCCAGGGCCGGCCCTGGGGTGGACGCTGCACTGGCCCTGAGGGACCTGCCCAGCGCCTTCCACACCTGCTGCGTGGCAGGAGCAAAGCGAGGCCACCAACGCGTGCAGGGAGGATGGGCTGCAAGGTGGTCAGCGTCCTCCTGCCACGGTCAGCAGGCGCCCCCAGCCACAGGGATGTCCCTCCCCACCTCGCTGCGGGCCTTCACCTGCTGGGGGGCGGGAGCGCATTCCGAACACATCCACAGGCCGGCCTTTGTGCTCAGAGGTGCGCTGCCTGTACTGAGCTCCAGCCTTCCGCGGGCAGGTGCCAGCCAGAGGGTGGGCTCCGAGGCCCTCGCTCAACGGCTGGTGAGGCCAGCAGACCAGACCTGCTCTTCCCAGGCCCGTGCTTTGTCAGGTATCTGCAGCTCCCCGGAGATGTTTACATTTTTCAGGGAGTAAAATTAGGCCAAGCTCCTGCCCAGGGCTGCCCTGCAGGCCCACTGGAAGGGGTGGCTCTGTCGGGCCTGGCTGCCGCTCAGGGAGGCTCACGGGCCCTGGCCTGTGTCATGGACAATCCTGTTATTCCGAGGCTCCCTCCCTCCAAGGCTGACTGGGCCATGTCCTGTTTTATCACAGACCTGGGTGCCTGCGGGACTTACACCAGAAGAAGATGAGCACGTGGGTGACTGCGGTGAGCAGGGCGCGGCTCAGCCGGCAGCCGACGCCCATGCGGGGCCGCAAGGACTCCAGGCAGACCACCTTGTCCACGGATGTCACCAGCTCGGACGGGTCTTCCCCTTTCAACCTGCGACGGGACACGGGGCTCTGAGGCACCAAACCTCACTCCAAGTCCGGGGAAGCAGGAGGGGAGGGCGGGATGGGCCCGGTACCCTGCCTATGCTCTTTCCAGAAATGTCCCATGTTGGCTAGAGAACAAAGCTTTCAAGATGGCAGCAAGCTCCAACCCCTACCGTTAAAGTGATGCCCCCCTCTGCCGGGTCTTTGACAACCTCTCTCAGCGTGCAGAAGATTAAACTGTAAATTGGATTCCCACCTCCCAGCATAGAGAAATGGGAATGTTTACTGAGTCACTGGCTTTGCAGAACTGAAAGACGGAACCTGGAGGTTGTGCTTTTGCTCTGTCACATGGCCACCTGAGCTGCTTCAGTGTGGCCTGCAGGGTGTTGGGAGGCTCGGGCGGGCCCTGGGGGCAGGGCCCTGAGGGTACGGACGCCAGCCTTCGTCCAGAGCCAGGGCTCAGTGCCACACACTGCAGTGCCGTGACCAGACGCCCCTGTTCTGTGCTCACTTTCAGCGCCACCCTCCCCGGTGTGGGAAGCCGAGTGCCATCATCCCTGCGTTAGCGGCCTCACGGGCGCCGCGGGGGAGAAAATCCGTATTCTCCTCTGCCTTTTCCAACACAGGAAAATCGCTGAGCCACTGAGGGCAGCTGTTTTGTAAGCCGGCGAATTTTAATCGTGCTATGCATCCAGTTAGAGAGCTTTAGGCTGTGCAGCTCAGGGGGTTTCTGGTGGATGCGCTGCTGATGGAATTAGTAATTTGGGCGGATTAGAGGAAACCAACAAAGCCCTCGAGGGCCTTTTAATATCAGAAGCTGGAGCCGAACAGAGGTCCTGACAGGCCAGCTGAGGCACAGGCAGGGCCAGGAGATGCCTGCCCTTCCGAACGGCTCTCCAGGCCCGCCAGGCTGTGGGCTGGGCGCCCTTCCCCCTGCAGAGCAGCTGCCCGGCCTTTCAGCCTCCTGAAAGGGTTTGCTATCTCTGCCAACAGTGCTCGCCTGTGATAAAAGCGAGGCAGAAACTGCTTGGTCAGAGTCAAATCCACTATTTCCCAAGCAATTTCCATACTGAGCAAAAGCAACGTACAGAATTATTTCATCTACAAATGAAAACTCGCACCCACGGAGAGGAAGTACAGAAAAACGCCTTCCCCAGCAAAGCACTTGGGGTGGACAATGAAGAAGGCTGATGGGGCCCCGAAGCAGGACCAGCAGGGACCCCTGGCCAGCACCCCAGCACCTGGATCCACCTGACTTCCGGTGGCTGAGGCAGGCGTGGCTGAGGGCAGAGCCGCAGGAGTCGGGCCAGGGCCTGGGGATGCTGCACTCACCAGATGCCCACGTCCTTGTTGCTGCTCAGGATCCAGGTCAGCGCCGCCTTGAACTTGGCAGAGGAGCTGCTGGTCACGTTCTGTGGGGGACGGGGATTAGCACTGCCCTGGGCAGGGCTGGGACTGAGCCACCCTCTCCTCGCGCCCCACCCTTCTGCGAGATGCACAGGTAGGAGGAAATCTGCAGTGATGAGAGACTGAGAGACCCGAGCTCTGACCCGAGCAGGCAGCGTGGGAGCAGGGGAGGAAAGCAGCCGGGCCAGGGCCCTCCCATGCCAGGAATATCCAGGTGTGCAATGGGAAAAGGGCACAGGCTGGGGCAGGGCTGGTGACCGTTCCGGACTGTGAGTCCTCCTGCAAGTCCCTGACCCTCTCTGCCTCAGCCTCCTCTGGGCAATGCAAGTGGGACTGGGCATCCAAGGTCCTGCTGGCTGCAGAACGGAGTTCCGTAATTCTATCACCTGGAGGCCATGGGGAAACTTAAGTGGACCCTGAGGGGTCTGAATGGAACCACAGAGACAACAGGCAGAGAGAATGTGTACCCTGAGTGTGCTGAAAGGAGGAGCACAGAACAGGGCCCCTTAAGAAGGGGAGTCTAAGCTGGACGTGGAGGCACATGCCTGTAATCCAAGCATCTGATAGGCTGAGGCAGGAGGATCTTGAGTTCAAGGCCAGCCCCAGCAACTTAGTGACTTAGTGAGATCTTGTCTCAAAAAATAAAAATAAAAGGGGGATGGGATGGACATGTGGCTTAGTATGAAGGCCCTGGCTTCCATCCCCTTTACCTACCTCCCCACACACATGGAAAGGCAAGGCAAGGCAAGGAAGAAAAAGAGAAACTGCAGCCATTGTCTGGCTGCTGACAGGTAACAGGGCAGGAGGGAGCAGCCACATGGGGGCACAGTGCCCACCGTGGCCACCTTATCTCAGGTAGCCCAACATTCCACTAAGTTTTAAAAAAGAGAGAAGCCAAGAGCCACAAAGCAAACACGAGACAAAAAAGGGAAAACCCGCAGGGCTTAAAGGATTAGTAACAAAGCCAGGCCCTCGGGATGGAGGCCGCACAGCCTACTCACTGCTAGGTACTCCTGGGCTTCCAGAACAGGAATGCATTTGCTTTTTAGCTTCTCTGGATTTCCACACTCAAAATTACCTAGGAGAAAAAAAGACATTCAAACAACGGTGAGAGAAGAATGACTCTGAAAGGGACTAAAATGCGGCAAGAATCAAGCCGCCAGCTCTAATGGGGAGCGTGTGGCCGGCGGCTCCCGGCTTCTGTAGGGTCTTCACTCTCTGGCAAGATCAAAAGCCACTTAGCTTGGATCAATTCCAGATCATTAAAACCTGACCTGCAAAGCAGTGTGGCAATTTGCATTAAATGACTAAAAAGCTGCCCAATACCGAGGTCTGTTTGCAATTGATCCCTGAAAGGATCAGACAGATAGCTTTGGAAGGTACTGAAATGGCACTATAAATAAACAGCCCAGGAAAAGGAAGGCAGGGAGGCTGTGGCACCGCAGGGGTTCTGATTCTGACCTGGGCTGGCGGCCTGGAGTGGCCCGGGAGGAGGGGGTGCTGGGCAGAGGGCCTGGGTGTGGCAGCTCCCTCTGAGCACCCTGGCAGCTGCTTCCCACCTCGTCCTGCCCAGCCTTCAGCCCCAACCCCCGGGGCTTCCGGTCTGGCGGAGGGTTCCACTCTGCGGCCTGCACAGCCCATAGCACTCCTGCAGCTTCCTGTGGGTCAGCTGCACCCCGATGGCAGGGGGCGTGGGGCTGGGCATGCACCGGACCCTCACATCCCTCAGGCCCTCGGCCCGCCCCGGGCACAGCCCGCGGTGCCTGTCGCTGGCCTGTGAGCTCGGGAGGAGGGGACGAAGGCGATACTGTATTATTTTCTTCACAGTGAGATGCAGCCTGCCCTCCACCCCAACACAGCCGCACATGCTCAACTTCCTTGATCTTGACCCTGTGTGTCCCCTCAGACCAAGGTGGTTTCTGGCATCCTGTCCCCAGCCTGACCACCTCAGGGGCCTCCTGATTGGTTTCCTCCTGTCCTCTCTCTGATCCACAGGCTTTGTCAATAAAGCTAGGACACGGCTGTATAAATGACACTGCATCACTCAGGAGGCTGCCGCGTCTGCCTTCTGGGCAGCTGGTTCCCTGTAGGTCACTCCCCTGCTCAAAGCCTTCCCCACCCTCGTCAGCTGCTGGACCCAGGTCTGGTGGCCTGGCGTCCAACCTGCATCTCCTTCCTCCGTGAAGCTGCTGCTTCCTGTCCCTGCTGGTCACTCCTGCCTGTCCCCTTCCTGCACATGTGTACGGTGGTCCCACCTAGACTGCAGGCATGGTGCAGGCTCCTCTGCCCAGGCCCAGGGCCCTTTCCTGACCACTTCCAGAGGAGAGGCGTAGGGTGTGGGCAGCGGAGAGGTCACACCTCCCTTTGGCTTGTCTAGGTGAGACCCTTGCCCTCACAGCTGCCCTGCCAGGCGGGTCAGGGGGCAGCAGGTGCCAGGAATAAGCCGGGACCCCACACGGAAGGCAGGACAGAGAAGGAACAGCCACCCAGCCCGGTGCAGAGCTGGGCTCCTCACACGTCCCCAGTGTTCTGTGCCAGCACTGGTTCTGACTCAGTGCGTGAGCCAGGGCTGGAATGAACTCTGCATTTCCAGGCAATTCAAGGCGATATTGGTGCCTTGGATCCTTGGACCAGGTCTGACTGTGCTGTCAGTGCCCAGGCCCTGGGCCCTGCGCAGGACGCCCAGGAGGACAGGATGTGAGCAGGAGATCCCGCTCTGCTCCTCCCCTCTGTGAGGCGCTTCTGGATGGATCTCCAGACACCTCAAATCCCCCTGCATCACAGTCTCAGTGGACACCCACAAGACTGGGCCAGAGGATGGAGGGCCCAGTGCAAGTCCGACCGACCTCTGCTGCCTGTCCTCTGACCTCCGGGTAACGACCAAACCGCTCCTTCCCCTTGTGCCAACCCCTGGAATGCGCCTGCACTGTGCCCCAGTGCTTCCGGGAGCCCCCCCTGGATAGCACAGTGACCCCTCTGACCTCCACGCACGAGTTCACCTGGCAGTGGGGCTGCAGGTGGGTTTCCAGAGGACACTGTGGGGGTGTGGAGACCACTGAGTCACATGGGAGACAGTGGCTCTGGGAGGACCAGGCTCCCACAGCCAGATGGTTCCACCCAGACCAGATGTGACACCGGTGTTACCACCCACTTCCTGCATGGGTACAAGGCCTCTGCCCTGGCCCGGCGGACTGTCAGGGTGGAGTACACAGGCCCTGATAGGATCTAGGGTCCCCCAGCCTGAGCCCCTGCGTGCCCTCAAAGACAGACATGTGGCATAGCACCAGGCTCACAGGTTGTGCGAGCAGGGACAGGTTGGGCAGGGCCAAGGCCTACTCACCGGCTTGGACGGCCAGGAAGTTGTAGAGCTCGTGCAGCAGCTCCAGCAAAGCCGCCTTCTGCTTGGCCTGGCAGAACTGAAAGGCACAGGACAAGTGGTCAGCAAGGTGCAGCTTGGGACTTAAAAAAACAGAGACAACCAGTCCTGCAGAGTGCGGAGCCCGGAGAGGCAACAAAGAGCAGGTTATCAGCCAAGGACACTGTCAAAGCGGAGCCCCGGGCACAGGCAGACGCAGTAATGCAGGGACAGCTTCCCAGAGGCCTCTGGCCTGAGTTTCCTTGAAATAAAGGCCAGTGAGAGGGGCACACGACACAGGGGCGGCTTCCCTGGAGGGAGGAGCCATGGCTGCTCCCCGTCAGTTTCAGGGTACCTCGGGGCCCTCCTGAGTGGGGACTTTGTGAGGTGTCCACACCAGCGCATATGCAAACCCCTCGGCCCACTGATGCCACCCACAGGAGATGGCAAGATGGCCTAGACAGATGGGCTCTTACCCGATACTCAGGTGCCCGCCTGGCTTCTGGGTGGGCCTGGAGCCATGGCCTGTGCCCAGGGCCACCCGAAGGCCAAAGGCACTCTGGGAAATCAGGGGTGTGTGGCCTGGGCCCTGCTGTCCCCTGGTGCGATACAGGTGGCAGGATTTATTTACAGAGAGGGAATCTCTAGGCCTGCCCCGCTGTCTGCCACGTGCATCTGTGGCAGGGACTCGAGGGGCCGTCTGTGCTCACTGCAGTGGCTCTGGCTGTGTCCAGCTCTGAGAAGGGCCTGGGCATGAACGTGCCATTTACTTGGGGCCTGACATACGAAGGACGGATGAACAGAAACCAGGGAACCCTTTTCTAATTAAAGGGCAAAGGCAGCTAATGGCACTAGAGGAGTCTTATTTGAGTTATTTTTTTCCTGCTTTTGCTTTTTAGTCTTCAACCTTCAAGTATCCCCTCTGGCCTCCTATGTTTCCCAGCCACTCGCTCTAATCACCCGCAACAAGTTTTTATGATGGAAGGCAGATTAAACTGATGAATCTGCTTTTGCAGTCACTGAGAAGCACAGATATTTGGTGGATGACAGAGATAAATGAATATTATAAAACACCCCCAAACGTGATAAAGCGGAAGCCAAGGAAAAACAAAACTGGTCATGGGCAACAGGATGCCCTTCATTAACGGGGGTAACAGCCTGTCAAGACAGGAGTGGCCCAGTGACCAGGCGCCACTTCTTTTCCAGCCTCTGGGTGGTGGAGCCCTGGCATCACACGCTTAATAATTAGACCACTAAGTCGTGCCCTCCAGCAGCGCACGGCTCCTCCCGGAGGATTTATAACCTGAAAATTTATTGCCTCATCTCTCCCCCGACTATCACCAGCACCAGCATCCCAGCTCCTGGCTAATGCAGCCTGTGTGATTCATAAGTGGATGGGGCTGCTCGCCTGGCCCGAATATCATTTGTTGGGAACACTAGGTCTTCATAAAACAAATCCACGGTAAGCACAGACTAAGAGGGCTAATTCCACCCACGACAGGTTGCAGACAAATCCCCCATGATGTGTCAAATGACAGCAGCATTTCTGGAGCTGCTGATGTACACCAGAGAGAAGATTGTAGAATTGAGAGCTTGGCTTCCTGATGCTGCTTAGAAATTGCCAGCCCTTCCTCCCAATGCTGGGGTCCTTCAACAGCCGCTGCATCTCCCTCCCCACATCAACTCAGGCAGAAGATCAAAGTCCCCGATGTGAGGCTGATGAGCGAGCTTCCCTAACAGCCCAGGGTTGCACGTGGGGAGCTTAATTCTCTGTATTTCAAGTGCTCCTTCACTGCCACAACTGAGCCTGACACAGAACATGATGTGATTCTGGTCCGTTACAGGAAGCCCTCCCTACAGAGGAACCTATTATGATCTTTTTCTGGGAAGTTTACCTCCACATGGAGGTGAGATCCTCAGGAGGAACAAGAAAAGCAACAGAAGTTCAAACTCACCTCATCTGTTTTTCTCTCACAGTCCACTGGCAATAATTTCACTGAGACCAAGAAAAGAAACAGATTAAAAGGTGTGGGCTGAGGAAGAGAAGACAGTGAGCACTCCAAACCCGGGGGGAAATAAAACATCACTGACACCAAGGGTGGGGATTAGAAAGATGTCATCTAATTGCAGACCGCAAAATGCAAGGTTCCCCATTCTGGTTAAGAGTTTGGATAGCTGGGTCCTCATCCAGCTGAAAACAAGTAGCTATAGGTTTCTGGGCAACTCAACCACTTAGGACTTG